CCCCAAATCCCCAAATCCCTCAGACCCCAAATCCCAAAATCCCCGAGACCCCAAATCCCTGTGTTCCCAAATCCCAAAATCCTTGTGTTCCCAAATCCCTGAGTCTCCAGACCCCAAATCCCAAAATTCCTGTGCTCCCAAATCCCAAAATCCCTGTGTTCCCAAATCTCTGAGTTTCCAAATCCCAAATCCCCAAATCCCAAATTCCTGAGTCCCCAAACCCCAAAATCCCTGAGACCCCAAATCCCAAAATTCCTGTGCTCCCAAAATCCCTGAGACCCAAAATCCCAAAATTCCTGTGCTCCCAAAATCCCTGAGACCCCAAATCCCAAAATCCCTGTGCTCCCAAATCCCAAAATCCCTGTGCTCCCAAATCCCTAAATCCCGAGACCCCAAATCCAAAATTCCTGAGTCCCCAAATCCCAAAATCCCTGAGTTCCCAAAATCCCTGTGTCCCCAAATCCCAAAATCCTTGCTCCCCAAATTCCAAAGTCCCCGAGTTCCAAATTCCCCGAGTCCCCAAACCCCAAATCCCTGAGTTCCTAAATCCTTGAGTCCCCCAAATCCCAAAATCCCCAAATCCCTGAGTTCTCAAATCCCTGAGTCCCCAAATCCCAAATTCCCTGAGTCCCCCAAATTCCAAAGTCCCTGAGTTCCAAATTCCCCGAGTCCCCAACCCCCAAATTCCCCAAACCCCAACCCCGAATCCCAAAATCCCGAAATCCCAAATTTCCTGAGTCCCCAAACCCCAAAATCCCAAAAATCCCCCAAATCCCTGAATCCCCAAACCCCAAATCTCAAAATCCTTGAGTCCCCAAATCCCTGAATTTCCAAATTCCCAAATCCCAAAATCCCGAATCACCCCCAAATTTCACCCCGCAGGTCGCTGGAGTCGAGGGGGTAGAACCCCCCAGGAGACCCCAAAGACCCCCGGGACCCCCCAGGACCCTCCTGGACCACCTGGGACCCCCCCCCCAGGACCCCCCAAAATACCCCGGGAGCCCCCCCCCCCCCGGGACCCCCCCCCCAAAATCCCCCAGGACCCCCCCAGGACACCCCAAAATCCCCTGGGACCCTCCTGGGACCCCTCAAAGACCCCTTGGGACCCCCCAGGACACCCCAAAATCACCTGGGACCCCCCCCGGGACACCCCCAGAGTCCCTTGGGACCCCCCCGGGACCCCTCCGAGACCCCTGGGACCTTCTGGGACCCCCCCAAAATTCCCCAGGACCCCTCTGGGACCCCCCCCCCCAGGACCCCCCATAAGTCCCCAGGGACCCCCCCAAAGTCACCTGGGACCCCTCTGGGACCTTCTGGGACCCCCCCCCCAGGACCCCCCAAAGAAAGTCCCCCGGGACCCCCCAGGAGCCCCCCAGGACCCTCTCGGACCCCTCTGGGACCCCCCAGGAGCTCCCCTGAGACCCCTCTGGGACCCCCAAAGTCACCTGGGACCCCCTGGGACCCCCCAAAATCCCCTGGGATCCCCCAGGACCTCTTGGGACCCCCCCCCCCCAGGTCACCCCAAAATCCCCCCAGGACCCCTCTGGGACCTCCCAGGGACCCCTTGGGACCCCCCAAAGGCACCTGGGACCCCCCCAGGGCCCCCCAAAAGTCCCCAGGGACCCCCCCAAAGGCACCTGGGACCCCCCAGGACCCCCCGGGACCCCCCCAGTCCCCCCCCCCCCGCCGTGTGTATATGTGGCACACTGTACAGTATTTATTGGCTGCTATTTAAAGGCGTGGCCCAGGTGGGTCACCTGTGGGTTACCTGAGTGTCACCTGTGTCACCTGTGGGTCACCTGTGTCACCTGTGTCACCTCTGGGTCACCTGTGGGTTACCTGAATGTCACCTGTGTCACCTGTGGGTTACCTGTGTCACCTGTGTCACCTGTGGGTTACCTGAGTGTCACCTGGGTCACCTGTGGGTCACCTGTGTCACCTCTGGGTCACCTGTGTCACCTGTGGGTTACCTGAATGTCACCTGTGTCACCTGTGGGTTACCTGTGTCACCTGTGTCACCTGTGGGTTACCTGAGTGTCACCTGTGTCACCTGTGGGTCACCTGTGTCACCTGTGTCACCTGTGGGTCACCTGTGTCACCTGTGGGTTACCTGAGTGTCACCTGTGTCACCTGTGGGTCACCTGTGTCACCTGTGTCACCTCTGGGTCACCTGTGGGTTACCTGAGTGTCACCTGTGGGTCACCTGTGGGTTACCTGAGTGTCACCTGTGTCACCTCTGGGTCACCTGTGTCACCTGAGGGGGGGTCACCTATGTCACCTGTCTCATCTGAGTGTCACCTGTGTCACCTGTGGGGGGTCGTCATCTGTGTGACGTCAGTGTCACCTGAGGGGGGTCACCTCTGCATCACCTGTGTCACCTGTCTCATCTGTCACCTGAGTGTCACCTGTGTCACCTGTGTGTCACCTGAGGGGGGTCGTCTATGTCACCTGTGTCACCTCAGTGTCACCTGTGGCGGGGGGGGGAGGGTCACCTGAGTGTCACCTGTGTCACCTCTGTGTCACCGCTGTCACCTGTGGGGGATCACAGGTGTCACCTGTCACCTGAGTGTCACCTATGGGTTAGAGTCACTTGCGTCACCTGAGGGGGGGGTCACCTGTGTGTCACCTGTGTCACCTGACGGGGGTCACCTGTGTCACCTCTGTGTCACCTGAGGGTCACGTGACTGTCCCCGGGATTGGGGGGGGGGGGGAGGGGTCCAGGTGCTTTTTTTGGGTGGGGAAAAGGGGAAATGGGGGGGTTGGTAACCATGGCAACGGGATGGATGCGTTGGTTTCCATGGTAACGGGGGGAAGGGAGGGGTTGGTAGCCGTGGCAACGGGGCAGGGCGGGGTTGGTTTCCATGGTAACGGGGATGCAGGTAATGGGAGGGGATCCCGTCTCCACGGCAACGGGGTTGGATGGGGTCGGGTCCATCTCCACGGCAACCAGAGGGGGGGAGGGGAATCCTAACGCCTGTCTCCATGGCAACGCCTATGGAGGGGATGGGATGGTCCGTCGTCATGGCAACCAGGGAGTGGGCAGAGTCCCGTCTCCATGGCAACAGAAGGGGTGGAGGGGCGGTTTCCATGGTGACAGAGGGGATGGGAGAGGGTGATCCGTCTCCATGGCAACGGGGTTGGATGAGGTGGTCCATGGTGACCGCCATGAAGGGGATCCCGTTTCCATGGCAACAGGGGCTGTGATGCTGAGTCTCCACGGTGACCGCCATTAAAGTGTGGCGATCCCGTTGCCATGGCAACAGGGCTGGCTGATGCGCCGTCTCCATGGCGACACGCAGGGAGGGGACTCCGCCCCGTCTCCATGGCAACGCGGGGCGGTTTCCATGGCGACGCGCTCCATCCCGGCACGCGGGGACGGGAGCGATCCCGTTGCCATGGCAACGCACGATGGGGAGGGGGGGAAGTGGTCCATCCCCATGGCAACGCGGGGGCGGGGCCGTCTCCATGGCAACGCGCATGCGCGCCCTCCCCCGCCCCCCGCCCGATGACATCACCCCGCGCTGGCCCCGCCCCCCGCGCGCTCCCATTGGCCGCTCGCTCTCAGGCCACGCCCCTCCCTCCCACCCGCCGCGGGGGCGGGGCCAGCGCGCCGCCGGCGCCCTCCCATTGGCCGGCGGCGCCGTCAATCAGCGCCGCATTGGCCGGCGGCGCCGTCAATCAGCGCCGCTCTTAAAGGGCCCGCGCAGCGTTTCGCGGGGCCGGGCCGGGGGGGGGTCGGTACCGGGGGGGGGGCGGGCGGCGGCCGCGGGGCTCGGGCGGGCCCGGGGCGCGCTGGGGCCGGAACCGGAGCGGGGGCGACCGGAGCGACCCCCCCCCCCACCGCCGGGGCCCCCCCTCCCCGCCGGGCCGCCTCCCTCCCGCCGCCCGCCCGCCCGCCCGCCCCGCCCGTCCGCCGGAGCTGCCGCAGCGCCGCTCGGAGCCCAGGTAGGAGCAGGGCCCGAGACCCCCCCGGGACCCCCCGGAACCGACCCCCGGCTGGCAAAGCCCAAATCCGCATCCCCAATCCCAAATCCGCATCCCAATCCCAAATCCGCATCCGCATCCCGAACCCGGCATCGCCATCCCCATCCCATCCCCGCCTCGGCATCCGCATCCCAATTCCGGCATCGCCATCCCAAATCCCATCCCACCTCCGCATCCGCATCCCGATCCCGTCCCGGCCCGGCAGCCGCATCCCGAATCCCAAATCCGCATCCCAAACCCGGCATCGCCATCCCGATCCCATCCCTGTCTCGGCATCCGCATCCCAAATCCCGAATCCGCATCCCGATCCAATCCCGGCCCCGGCAGGCAAATCCCAATTCCGGCATCGCCATCCCGATCCCATCCCGGCCCCGGCATCCCGATCCCATCGCTGCCTCGGCAGCCGCATCCCCGATCCCAAATCCGCATCCCAAATCCCAAATCCGCATCCCAAATCCCAAATCCGGCATCCCCATCCCGCCTCCGGCATCCACGTCCCGGCATCCCGAGCCCATCCCCGGGCCCGGCCCCGCCGTCCCCATCCCCGTCCCATCCTCATCCTCATCCAAATCCCTCATCCCATCCTCATCCTCATCCCATCCCCATCCCAAATCCCCCATCCCCATCCCATTCCCGGCGTCTCCATTCTACCTCCGACACCCCCATCCCAATCCTGGCCCTGCCACCCCCATCCCCATCCCAGACCCCAAAAATCCCATCCCAAACCCTCCATTCCCGAACACCCCATCCCTGTCCTAAAGCCCCGTCCCAAACCCCTCATCTCAAACCCTCCATCCCAAACCCTCCATCCCAATCCTGGCCTCCCCATCCTAAAGCCCCCATGGCAAACCCAAACCCCCTCAACCCCATCCCAAACGCCATCCTAAAGCCCCCATTCCCCGTCCCCAACCCTGCACCCCCATCCCGACCCCATCCCCATCCCAAATCCCCCAACCCAAACCCCCCATCCCAATCCTGGCCGCCCCATCCTCATCTCAACCCCCCATCCCAAACCAAACCCAAATCCCCCATCCGAACTTTGTGTCCTCATCCCAAAGCCCCCATCCCCATCTCAAACCTCATCCCATCCCAAGATCTGCACCTCCATCCCAAAGCCCCCATCCCCATCTCAAAGCCCCCATCCCAACCAAATCCCCCATCCCAAACCGTGCACCCCCATCCCCGCCCTAAACCCCATCCCAAACCCCCATCCCAAACCTCGTACCTCCATCCCAAAACCAAACCCCATCCCCATCCCAAACTCTGCACCCTCATCCCAAAGCCCCCACCCCAATCCCAAACCACATCCCAAAGGCCCCATCCCCATCCCAAAGCCCCCATCCCAAACCCCATCCGAACCCCCATCCCAAACCCAAACCTCATCCCCATCCCGAACTCTGCACCCTCATCCCAAAGCCCCCATCCCCATCTCAAACCCCCCCACGCCAAATCCCCCATCCCAAACCCAAACCCCATCCCCATCCTAAACCCATCCAGACCCCCCATCCCAAACCCTCCAAACCCCATCTTAAAGCCCCCCTCCCCATCCAAACCCCATCCCAAACCCCCCATCCCAAACCCAAACCCCATCTTAAAGCCCCCCTCCCATCCCAAACCCCTACCACCATCCCAAACCCCATCCCAAACCCCCCATCCAAGCCCAAACCTCATCCCCATCCTGAACTCTGCACCCTCATCCCAAAGCCCCCATCCCCATCTCAAACCCCCCATCCCCATCCCAAATCCCAAACCCCATCCCAAACCCTGCACCCTCCTCCAAACCCCCCAAACCCCCTATCCAAACTTGATCCCAAACCTTCCATCCCAAAACCCCCATCCCCATCCAAACCCCTCATTCCAAACCGTGCACCCCCATTCCCGTCCTAAACCCCATCCCAGACCCCCCATCCCAAACCCAAACCTCATCCTAAAGCCCCCCTCCCCATCCCAAACCCCCCATCCCAAACCCAAACCTCATCCCCATCCCAAACTCTGCACCCTCATCCCAAAGCCCCCCATCCTCATCCCAAACCCCCCATCCTCATCCCAAACCCCCCATCCCAAACCCAAACCTCATCCCCATCCCAAACTCTGCACCCTCATCCCAAAGCCCCCATCCTCATCCCAAACCCCCCATCCCAAACCCAAACCCATCCCAAACCCAAACCTCATCCCAAACCCCCCAAACCCCCTATCCCAAACTTGATCCCAAACCCAAACCCCATCCCAAAACCCCCATCCCCATCCCAAATCCCCCATCCCAAACCGTGCACCCCCATCCCCATCCCAAAGCCCCCATCCAAACCCCATCCCTGAACCCCCCATCCAAACCCAAACCCCATCCTAAAGCCCCCATCCCAAACCCCCCATCCCAAACCACTCAAACCCAAACCCCCCATCCCAAACTCTGCACTCTCATCCCAAATCCCCCATTTCAAACCCCCATCCCCATCCTTCCAAAGCGTGCGCCCCCATCCCAAATCCCATCCCCATCCCGAACTCCGCACCCTCATCCCAAACCCCCCATCCCAAAGCCCCCATCCCAAATCCCATCCCAATCCTGGCCTCCCCATCCTCATCCCAAACCCCCCATCCCAAACCCCACCCCAAAGCCCCCACCCCAAACCCCATCTCTACCCCCAGTACCTCCCAGTGCCCCCCATTTCATTCCAGTGCCCCCCATTCCATCCCAGTACCCCTCAGTGCCCCCCATTTCATCCCAGTGCCCCTCTAGTGCCCCCCAGTGCCCCTCAATTTCACCCCAGTACCTCTCAGTGCCCCCCAGTGCCCCCCCTTCCATCCCAGTACTCCCCAGTACCCTCCAGTGCCCCCCATTTCATCCCAGTACCCCCAGTTCATGCCAGAGCCCCCCAGTACCCCTCAATTTCACCCCAGTACCCCCAGTACCCCCCAGTACCCCCCATTTCATCCCAGTTCCCCCCATTCCATCCCAGTAACCCCCAGTACCCCGCAGTCCATCCCAGTACCCCCCATTCCATCCCAGTTCATCCCAGTACCCCCAGTACCTATCAATTTCACCCCAGTGCCCCCCAGTGCCCCCCAGTACCCCCCATTCCATCCCAGTACCTCTCAGTGCCCCCCAGTGCCCCCCATTTCATCCCAGTGCACCCCCAGTTCATCCCAGTGCCCCCCAGTGCCCCCCATTTTCCCCCCCATTTCCCCCCAGTACCTCCCAGTGCCCCCCCATTTCACCCCAGTTCCCCCCAGTACCTCCCAGTGCCCCCCCATTTCACCCCAGTTCCCCCCAGTACCTCCCAGTGCCCCCCCATTTCATCCCAGTTCCCCCAGTACCATCCCAGTGCCCCCCCATTTCACCCCAGTTCCCCCCAGTACCTCCCGTTCCATCCCAGTGCCCCCCAGTACCCCTCAATTTCACCCCAGTGTCCCCCAGTTCATCCCAGTACTCCCCATTCCATCCCAGTAACCCCCAGCACCCCCCATTCCATCCCAGTGCCCCCCACTGCACCCCCACCCCATCCTCCAGTGCTTTCCAGTGCCCAGGTGTGCCCAGGTGTCTCCAGGTGTGCCCAGGTACCCCCAGGTATCTCAGGTGTAGCCAGGTTGATGTTGGAGGCGCTGCCCACCCCCAGAGTGGGCTCAGGACCCCCAGAGTGGGTCAGGAGTGGAGCAGTGCTCGGTACCAACCCCATATTCCCCATGCCCAGGTGTGCCCAGGTGTGCCCAGGTGTGCCCAGGTGTGCCCAGGATGAGGTGTGAGGTGCTCCCCACCCCCAGAGTGGGGTCAGGACTGGAGCAGTGCTGGGCACTGACCCCATATTCCCCATGCCCAGGTGCGCCCAGGTGTGCCCAGGTGTGCCCAGGTACCCCCAGGTATCTCAGGTGTAGCCAGGTTGATGTTGGAGGCGCTGCCCACCTGTGGGATGGTTCAGGACACCCGAAATGGGTCAGGAGTGGGCAGTGGTGGGTATTGACCCCATACCCCCTCATCCAGGTGTGCCCAGGTGTTCCCGGGTGTGCCCAGGTGTGCCCAGGATGATGTTGGAGGTGCTGCCCACCCCCAGAGTGGGGTCAGGACCCCCAGAGTGGAGTCAGGACTGGAGCAGTGTTGGGTACTGACTCCATATTCCTCATGCCCAGGTGTGCCCAGGTGTGCCCAGGTGTGCCCAGGTACGTTCAGGAGGATGTGCGAGGTGCTGCCCACCCCCGGCCAGGACCCTAAGAGGGTCTTGGGACCCCCCAGAATGGGTCAGGACTGGAGCAGTGCTGGGTACCGACCCCATATTCCCCACGCTCAGGTGTGCCCAGGTGTGCCCAGGTGTGCCCAGGTGTCTCCAGGGTGTGCAGGATGATGCGCGAGGTGCTGCCCACCATCAGCGAGGACCCCCAGAGTGGTTCAGGACCCCCAAGGAACCCAGACTCGTTCCAATCACTCACATCCCTCCCACTCCATCTCCCCTCAGGTATCTCCAGGTGTCTCCAGGTGCGCCCAGGTGTGCCCAGGATGATGCGCGAGGTGCTGCCCACCATCAGCCAGGACCCTCAGGATGGGCCAGGACCCCCAAAGAGCCCAATCTTGTATCAAACCCCTGACGTTGTTCCCATCCTGTTTCTCTCCAGGTGTCTCCAGGTGTCTCCAGGGGCGCCCAGGTGTGTAGGATGATGTGCGAGGTGCTGCCCACCATCAGCCAGGACGCCCAGGATCTGTCAGGACTCCCAAAGAGCCCAATCTTGTATCAAAAGCCTCACGTTGTTCCCATCCTGTTTCTCTCCAGGTGATTCCAGGTGTCTCCAGGGGCGCCCAGGTGCGCCCAGGTGTGCAGGATGATGTGCGAGGTGCTGCCCACCGTCAGCGAGGACCCCCAGGATCTGTCAGGACCCCCAGACTGATTCAGTCCCAGATCAGATGCTCACATCCCTCCCACTCCATCTCCCCCCAGGTGACTCCAGGTGTGCCCAGGTGTGTCCAGGTGCGCCCAGGTGCGCTTAGGTGCCCAGGATGATGCGCGAGGTGCTGCCCACCATCAGCGAGGGACCCTCAGAGTGGTTCAGTCTCAGATCAGATGCTCACATTGCTTCCACTCCATCTCCCCCCAGGTGTCTCCAGGTGCGCGCAGGTGTGCCCAGGTGTGCAGGATGATGCGTGAGGTGCTGCCCACCATCAGCGAGGACCCCCAGAGTGGTTCAGGACCCCCAAAAGACACAATCTTGAATCAGTCCCTGATCTCTCTCCCACTCCATCTCCCCCCAGGTGTCTCCAGGTGCGCGCAGGTGCGCCCAGGTGTGCAGGATGATGTGCGAGGTGCTGGCCACCATCAGCCAGGACGCCCAGGATCTGTCAGGACTCCCAGGATGGTTCAGTCTCAGATCAGATGCTCACATTTCTGCATGTTTTGTCCCCCCAGGTGACTCCAGGTGTGCCCAGGTGTTTCCAGGTGCGCCCAGGTGCGCCCAGGTTGATGTGCGAGGTGCTGCCCACCATCAGCGAGGACCCCCAGACTGATTCAGTCTCAGATCAGATGCTCACATTTCTGCCATGTTTTGTCCCCCCAGGTGTGTCCAGGTGCGCCCAGGTGCGCTTAGGTGCCCAGGATGATGTGCGAGGTGCTGCCCACCATCAGCGAGGACCCGCGGCGGGGCTCGGGCGCGGCCGAGGAGCCGGGGCTGGAGCAGCTGATGGTGCAGATGCTGCGGGGAGCGCGAGCGGCTGCTGGAGACGCTGCGGGACACGCAGGAGGGGCTGAACACGGCGCACCTGCGGCTGCGCGACCTGGCGCACGAGAGGGACCTGCTGCAGCGCCAGCTCAACTGCGCCCTGCCGCAGGTGAGGCACACCTGGGCAGGTAACATGGGCAGGAAGGGGTTAAAGGTGGGGTTAAACCAGGTGTGGTGTGGCTAAAGGTGGGGTTCAACCAGGTGTGCTGTGGTGTAGGATGGGTTAAACCAGGTGTGGTGTGGATAAACCAGGTGTGGTCAGGGAGGGGTTAAACCAGGTGTGGTGTGGATAAACCAGGTGTGGGTCAGGGAGGGGAAGGGTTAAACCAGGTGTGGTCAGGGAGGGGAAGGGTTAAAAGGTGTGGTCAGGTGTGGGAAGGGTTAAACCAGGTGTGGTCAGGTGTGGGAAGGGTTAAACCAGGTGTGGTCAGGGAGGGAAAGGGTTAAACCAGGTGTGGTCAGGTGTGGGAAGGGTTAAACCAGGTGTGGTCAGGTGTGGGAAGGGTTAAACCAGGTGTGGTCAGGGAGGGAAGGGTTAAACCAGGTGTGGTCAGGTGTGGGAAGGGTTAAACCAGGTGTGGTCAGGGCGGGGCTGAACACGGCGCACCTGCGGCTGCGCGACCTGGCGCACGAGAGGGACCTGCTGCAGCGCCAGCTCAACTGCGCCCTGCCGCAGGTGAGGCAGGGCAGGGGTTAAACCAGGTGTGGCGTGGCTAAAGGTGGGGCTAAACCAGGTGTGGTGTGGGATAAACCAGGTGTGGTCAGGAAGGGGAAGGGTTAAATCAGGTGTGGTGTGGGTGTGGTTAAACCAGGTGTGGTGTAGTTAAAGGTGTGGATAAACCAGGTGTGGTGTGGATAAACCAGGTGTGGTGTGGGTGTGGTTAAACCAGGTGTGGTGTAGTTAAAGGTGTGGATAAACCAGGTGTGGTGTGGGTGTGGTTAAACCAGGTGTGGTGTGGATAAACCAGGTGTGGTGTGGGTGTGGTTAAACCAGGTGTGGTGTAGTTAAAGGTGTGGATAAACCAGGTGTGGTGTGGGTGTGGTTAAACCAGGTGTGGTGTGGATAAACCAGGTGTGGTGTGGGTGTGGTTAAACCAGGTGTGGTGTAGTTAAAGGTGTGGATAAACCAGGTGTGGTGTGGATAAACCAGGTGTGTTGTGGGTGTGGTTAAACCAGGTGTGTTGTGGGTGTGGTTAAACCAGGTGTGGTGTGGATAAACCAGGTGTGTTGTGGGTGTGGTTAAACCAGGTGTGTTGTGGGTGTGGTTAAACCAGGTGTGGGTGTGGTTAAACCAGGTGTGGTGTGGATAAAGATGGGTTAAACCAGGTGTGGTCAGGGATGGGTGGAGTTAAACCAGGTGTGGTCGGGGAGGGGAAGGGTTAAACCAGGTGTGGTCAGGGACGGGCAAAGGGGTTGAGCAGGTGACTTCAGGTCAGGTGTGGACAGGTGTCCCCATGTCCCCAATGTCCTCAATCCCCCCAGTCCCCCTCAATGTCCCCAATCCCCGCCAACCCCCTCAGTGTCCCCAATGTCCCCAGTGTCCCCAGTGTCCCCAATCCCCCCAGTGTCCCCAGCGCTGTTTCCAAGGTCCCTACTGTCCCCAATGTCCCTAATCCCCCCCAATGTCCCCAATGTCCCCAATGTCCCCAATGTCCCCATTGCTGTCTCCTGCGTTGTCAATGCTGTCCCCAGTGCCCCCAATATCCCCAATGTCCCCAATGTCCCCAATGTCCCCAATGTCCTGAAATGCCTCCAGTCCCCCTCAATGTCCCCAATGTCCCCAATCCCCCTCAGTGTCCCCAGTGTCCCCAATGTCCCCAGTGTCCCCAGTGTCCCCTGCAATGTCCCCAATGTCCCCAATGTCCCCAGTGTCCCAGTGTCCCCAGTGTCCCCTGCAATGTCCCCAGTGTCCCCTGCAATGTCCCCAATGTCCCCAATGTCCCCAATGTCCCCAATGTCCCCAGTGTCCCCAGTGTCCCCAGTGTCCCCTGCAATGTCCCCAGCAATGTCCCCAGTGTCCCCAGTGTCCCCAGTGTCCCCAGTGTCCCCTGCAATGTCCCCAGCAATGTCCCCAATGTCCCCAGTGTCCCCAGTGTCCCCAGTGTCCCCTGCAATGTCCCCTGCAATGTCCCCAGTGTCCCCAGTGTCCCCAGTGTCCCCAGTGTCCCCAGTGTCCCCTGCAATGTCCCCAATCCCCCTCAGTGTCCCCAGTGTCCCCAGTGTCCCCAGTGTCCCAGTGTCCCCTGCAATGTCCCCAATGTCCCCAGTGTCCCCAGTGTCCCCAGTGTCCCCAGTGTCCCCTGCACTGTCCCCGCTGTCCCCAGGAGCTGGCGGCGCTGACCAAGGAGCTGAACCTGTGCCGGGAGCAGCTCCTGGAGCGCGAGGAGGAGATCGCCGAGCTCAAGGCCGAGCGCAACAACACCCGCGTGAGCGCCGGGGCCCCGCGTGTCCCCAGATGTCCCCAAATGTCACCTCGGTGTCCCCAAATGTCACCTCGGTGTCCCCAATGATGTCCCCAATCCCCCCAATGTCCACAACACCATCAATCCCTTCAATGTCCCCTCAGTGTCCCCAAATCCCCCCAGTGTCCCCAGTGATGTCCCCACTGTCCCCAAATGCCCCCATTGTCCCAATGTCCCCAACACTCCCAATGTCCCCAGTGTCCCCAATGTCCCCAATCCCCACAATCCCCACAATGTCCCCAATGTCCCCAACGCCCCCAATGTCCTTAATGTCCCTGATGTCCCTGATCCCCACAATGTCCCCAATGTCCCCAGTGCTGTCCCCAGCTGCTGCTGGAGCACCTGGTGTCCATAACATCCCCAAAGTCCCCACTGTCCCCCCAATCCCCACAATGTCCCCAATGTCCCCACTGTCCCCAACACCCCCATTGTCCCCAATGTCCCCAACGCCCCCAATGTCCCCAATGTCCCCGATGCCGTCCCCAGCTGCTGCTGGAGCACCTGGAGCACCTGGTGTCCCCAATGTCCCCAATGTCCCCAACATCTCCAACATCCCCAATGTCCCCAACGTCCCCAACGCCCCCAATATCTCCAATGTCCCCAGTGTCCCCAACGCCCCCAGTGTCCCCAGTGTCCCCAACACTGTCCCCACTGTCCCCAGCTGCTGCTGGAGCACCTGGAGCACCTGGTGTCCCCAATGTCCCCAACATCCCTGATCCCCCCAGTGTCCCCAGTGTCCCCAACACTGTCCCCACTGTCCCCAGCTGCTGCTGGAGCACCTGGAGCACCTGGTGTCCCCAATGTCCCCAACATCCCTGATCCCCCCAGTGTCCCCAGTGTCCCCAACACTGTCCCCACTGTCCCCAGCTGCTGCTGGAGCACCTGGAGCACCTGGTGTCCCCAATGTCCCCAACATCCCTGATCCCCCCAATGTCCCCAATGTCCCCCAACACTGTCCCCAACACTGTCCCCACTGTCCCCAGCTGCTGCTGGAGCACCTGGAGCACCTGGTGTCGCGCCACGAGCGCTCTCTCCGCATGACCGTGGTCAAGCGCCAGGCCCAGTCCCCGGCCGGGGTCTCCTCCGAGGTCGAGGTGCTCAAGGCCCTCAAGTCGCTCTTCGAGCACCACAAGGCCCTGGACGAGAAGGTCTGGGGGGGGGTTTGGGGGGTCCTGGGGGATCCTTGGGGGGGTCTTTAGAGGATCTTTGGGGGGTTTTTGGGGGTCTCTAATGGGGTTTTGGGGGATTTTGGGGGGTTTAAGGTGACCTGGTGGGACCTGGTGGGATCTAAATGGACCTGAAGGCATCTCAGGAGGGTTCTGAGGTGACCTGGGGGGTCTTGGGGGTGTCCTTGAGGGGTTTTGGGGGGATTTTAAGGTGACTTGGTGGGACCTGAAGGTATCTCAGGAGGGTTCTGAGGTGACCTGGGGGTCCTGGTGGGGTCTTTGGGGAGTTTTGGGCGATCCCCCTGGGTGGTCCTGGGGGGGTTTTTGGGGTGTTTTGGTGGGGTTTAAGGAGACCTGGTGGGACCTGGTGGGATCTAAATGGACCTGAAGGCATCTCAGGAGGGTTCTGAAGTGACCTGGGTGGTCCTGGGGGGGTCCTTGAGGGGTTTTGGGGGGATTTTAAGGTGACTTGATGGGACCTGAAGGTATCTCAGGAGGGTTCTGAGGTGACCTGGGGGGTCCTGGGTGGTCTTGGGGGGTTCCTGGGGGTCCCTGGGGGGTTTTGGGGGTCCCTGGGAGGGTCTCAGGGGGTTCTGGGATGTCCCTGGTCTCACCTGGTGGCACCTGGTGACACTCAAGTGTCCCTGGGGGGGACCCAAGGGGGTCTCAGGGGACTTTGGGGGTCACACAGGTGGCCCTGGGGACATCTCAGGGGGGGTTCTGGTGGCCCCCTGGTGTCACCTCAATGTCACCTCGATGTCACCGCGATGTCCCCAGGTGCGGGAGCGGCTGCGGGTGGCCCTGGAGCGCGTGGCCGTGCTCGAGGAGGAGCTGGAGGTGTCCAACCAGGAGGTGGGGACAGCAGGGGACACCGGGGTGGGGACACCGGGGTGGTGGCACTGGGGTGGTGGCACTGGGGTGGTGGCACCGGGGTGGTGGCACCGGGGTGGTGGCACTGGGGTGTCCCCGTGGGTGGTGGCAGGGGTGACGCCCATTGTGGTGCTTTGGAGGGTGACACCTGTGCGCTGTCCCCGTGTCACCTGGGGGTGGCACTGTCCCCATGTCCCTGTCCCTGTGTCACCTGGGGGTGGCACTGTCCCCGTGTCATTGTCTTTGTCCCTCTGTCCCTGTTGGTGACACTGTCCCTGTCCCTGTCCCCTCCCTGTTGGTGACACTGTCCCCTTGTCCCTGTGTTTGTCCCCTCCCTGTCCCCCAGTCCCTGTCCCTGAAGTGACACTGTCCCTGTCCCCATGTGCCTGAGGGTGACATTGTCCCCATGTCATTGTCACTGTCACTGTCCCACAGTCGCTGTCCCTGCGGGAGCAGCTGTCCCTGTTGGTGACACTGTCACTGTCATTGTCCCTGTCATTGTCCCCGCAGTCGCTGTCCCTGCGGGAGCAGCTGTCCCTGTTGGTGACACTGTCACTGTCATTGTCACTGTCATTGTCCCCGCAGTCGCTGTCCCTGCGGGAGCAGCTGTCCCTGTTGGTGACACTGTCCCTGTCATTGTCCCCGCAGTCGCTGTCCCTGCGGGAGCAGCTGTCCCTGTTGGTGACACTGTCACTGTCACTGTCCCTGTCATTGTCCCCGCAGTCGCTGTCCCTGCGGGAGCAGCTGTCCCTGTTGGTGACACTGTCACTGTCATTGTCCCTGTCATTGTCCCCGCAGTCGCTGTCCCTGCGGGAGCAGCTCTCTCGGCGCCGCTCGGGCCTGGAGGACGCGGCCACCGACGGGGACAGCGCGGTGAGGGGACAGCGGGGACACCGGGGGGGTCAGGGGTCATGGGGGGGACACTGGGGGGGACAGCGGGGGTGTCAGGGGTCACCGATGGGGACAGCGCGGTGAGGGGACAGCGGGGACACCGGGGGGGTCAGGGGTCATGAGGGGGACACTGGGGGGGACACCAGGGGGGTCAGGGGTCACTGATGGGGACAGAGCGATGAGGGGACAGCGGGGACATTGGGGGGACACTGAGGGGACACTGGGGAGGTCAGAGGTCACAGGGTGGGGACAGCACGGTGAGGGGGACAATGGGGACATCAGGGGGGACACTGGGGGGGTCAGAGGGGGGTCAGGGGACAATGGGGGGGTCAGGGGGGACACCAGGGGGACAGCATGGTCAGGGGACAATGGGGACACTGGGGGGTCAGGGGTCACCAATGGGGACAGAGCGATGAGGGGACAATGGGTGACCCTGGGGGGGACACCATGGTAAGGGGACACTGGGTGACACTGGGGGGGTCAGAGCTGTCCTGGGGGGGGGGGGGGGTCAGAGGTGTCCTGGTGGGGGTCAGGGGTCAGGGGTCAGGGGTCAGAGGTGGCGCTGTCCCCAGGCGGAGCTGGAGGCGTCGCTGGGCCGGCAGCGCGTGGCCGCCCTGTGCCGCCAGCTGGGCCGGCTGCAGGACGAGGCCAACGCCGCCCAGAGGGAGCTGGCCCGGGCCCACGAGGCAGGGGCCAAGCTCCAGAGGGACCTCAAGGAGGTGAGGACGGGGGGAAATAGCGAAAAAACGGGAAAAAACGGTGAAAAAACGAGAAAAAACAGTGAAAAAATGGCTAAAAACGGTGGAAAAATGGCTAGAAATGGCCCAAACTGGGAGGAAATGACCCAAAGCGGGAGCTGGCCCAGGCCAAGCTCCAGAGGGACCTCAAGGAGGTGAGGACGGGGGGAAATGGTGAAAAAAACGGTGAAAAAACGAGAAAAAAATGGTGAAAAAACGAGAAAAAACGGGAGGAAACGGTGAAAAAATGACTAAAAACGGCCAAAAAATGGCTAAAAAACGGTGAAAATGGCCCAAAGTGGGAGCTGGCCTGGGCAAATGGCCCGAAGTGGGAGCTGGCCTGGGCCAAGCTCCAGAGGGACCTCAAGGAGGTGAGGACGGGGGGAAATGGCGAAAAAACGGGGAAAAATGGTGAAAAAACGGGGGAAAACGGTGAAAAAACGAGAAAAAAACGGTGAAAAATGGCCGAAACCCAGCTAAAAATGGGGAAATGGCCCAAAGTGGGATCTGGCCTGGGCCAAGCTCCAGAGGGACCTCAAGGAGGTGAGGACAAGGTAAAATATGGAAAAATGGGAAAAAACAGGAAAAAAAAAGGAGAAAAACAGTGAAAAAATGGCTAAAAAGGGTGAAAAATTGATAAAATGGCTCAAACTTCCAAGTGGGAGCTGGCCCGGGCCCATGAGGCAGGGGCCAAGCTCCAGAGGGATCTCAAGGAGGTGAGGACGGGGGAAATGAGGGGAAAATGGGAAAAAACAGGAAAAAAATGTGAAAAAAATGGGGGGAAACGGTGAAAAAATGGCGAAAAAACGGTGAAGAAATGGCGAGAAACAGTGAAAATAGGGAAAAATGGCAAAAATGGCCCAAAGTGGGAGCTGGCCCGGGACAAGCTCCAGAAGGATCTCAAGGAGGTGAGGACAGGGGGAAATGGTGAAAAAACGGTGAAAAAACGGGAAAAAATGGCTAAAAACGGTGAAAAAATGGCTAAAAATGGCTACAAACAGTGAAAATGGCCCCAAAGTGGGATCTGGCCTGGGCCAAGCTCCAGAGGGACCTCAAGGAGGTGAGGACGGGGGGAAATGGCGAAGAAACGGGAAAAAACGGTGAAAAAATATGAAAAAACGGTGAAAAAATGGCTAAAAACGGTGAAAAAATGGCGAAAAACCAGCTAAAAATGGGAAAATGGCCCAAAGTGGGATCAGGCCTGGGCCAAGCTCCAGAGGGACCTCAAGGAGGTGAGGACGGGGGGAAATGGCGAAAAAACGGGAAAAAACGGTGAAAAACAGCATCAAACTGGGATGATGCCCCCAATGTCCCCGGTGTCCCCAAATGATGTCCCCACCAGGCCCTGGCGCAGCGCGAGGACATGGAGGAGCGCATCACGACACTCCATTGTCCCCGATGTCCCCATTGCCCCCCAACACCCCCAATGTCCCCAGTGTCCCAAATGTCCCCAGTGATGTCCCCAATTCCCCCAATGTCCCCAATGTCCCCATTGTCTCCAATGTCCCCATTGTCCCCAATGATGTCCCCAGGCGCTGGCGCAGCGCGAGGACATGGAGGAGCACATGACAACATTGGAATGTCCCCAATGTCCCAATGTCCCATTGCCCCCAATGTCCCCATTGTCCCCAATGTCCCCAGTGTCCCCAATGTCCCCAGTGTCCCCATTGTCCCCATTGTCCCCAGTGTCCCCATTGTCCCCAGTGTCCCCAGTGTCCCCAGTGTCCCCAGTGTCCCCAGTGTCCCCAATGTCCCCAGTGTCCCCATTGATGTCCCCACTGTCCCCTCAGGTGCTGGCGCAGCGTGAGGACATGGAGGAGCGCATCACAACACTCCAGTGTCCCAATGTCCCCAGTGTCCCCAATGTCCCCAATGTCCCCATTGTCCCCAATGTCCCCAGTGTCCCCAATGTCTCCAATGTCCCCAGTGTCCCCAATGTCCCCAATGTCCCCAGTGTCCCCATTGATGTCCCCAGGCGCTGGCGCAGCGCCGAGGACATGGAGGAGCGCATCATGACATTGGAATGTCCCCAGTGCCCCCAATGTCCCATTGCCCCCAATGTCCCCAGTGTCCCCATTGTCCCCAGTGTCCCCAATGTCCCCATGTCCCCATTGATGTCCCCACTGTCCCCTCAGGCGCTGGCGCAGCGCGAGGGACATGGAGGAGCGCATCACGACGCTGGAGCGGCGCTACCTGAGCGCGCAGCGCGAGGCGACCTCGCTGCACGACGCCAACGACCGGCTGGAGAACGAGCTGGCCAGCAAGGAGAGCCTGTACAGACAGGTGGGACATTGGGGACACACCTGAGGACACACCTGGGGACACACCTGGGGACACCTGAGATAGAGGGGACACAGCTGGGATAGAGGGGACACAGCTGGAGAATGAGCTGGCCAGCAAGGAGAGCCTGTACAGACAGGTGGGACATTGGGGACATTGGGGACACACCTGGGGACATTGGGGACACCTGAGATAGAGGGGACACAGCTGGGATAGAGGGGACACAGCTGGAGAACAAGCTGGCCAGCAAGGAGAGCCTGTACAGACAGGTGGGACATTGGGGACATTGGGGACACACCTGGGGACACACCTGGGGACACCTGAGATAGAAGGGGACACAGCTGGAGAATGAGCTGGCCAGCAAGGAGAGCCTGTACAGACAGGTGACACACCTGGGGACATTGGGGACACACCTGGGGACACACCTGGGGACACCTGAGATACACCTGAGATAGAGGGGACACAGCTGGGATAGAGGGGACACAGCTGGAGAATGAGCTGGCCAGCAAGGAGAGCCTGTACAGACAGGTGACACACCTGGGGACATTGGGGACACACCTGGGGACACACCTGGGGACACCTGAGATACACCTGAGATAGAGGGGACACAGCTGGGATAGAGGGGACACAGCTGGAGAATGAGCTGGCCAGCAAGGAGAGCCTGTACAGACAGGTGGGACATTGGGGACATTGGGGACACACCTGGGGACATTGGGGACACCTGAGATAGAGGGGACACAGCTGGGATAGAGGGGACACAGCTGGAGAATGAGCTGGCCAGCAAGGAGAGCCTGTACAGACAGGTGACACACCTGGGGACACTGGGGACACGCCTGGGGACAGCTGGGACACACCTGAGATAGAGGGGACACAGCTGGGATAGAGGGGACACAGCTGGAGAATGAGCTGGCCAGCAAGGAGAGCCTGTACAGACAGGTGGGACATTGGGGACACACCTGGGGACATTGGGGACACCTGAGATAGAGGGGACACAGCTGGGATAGAGGGGACACAGCTGGAGAAGGAGCTGGCCAGCAAGGAGAGCCTGTACAGACAGGTGACACACCTGGGGACACACCTGGGGACATTGGGGACACCTGAGATACACCTGAGATAGAGGGGACACAGCTGGGACAATGGGGACACACCTGAGCACAGCAGACATAAATGGCACACCCCTGGGATAGAGGGGACACCTGGGGACACACCTGGGGACACACCTGGGGACACATCGGAGATAGAGGGGACACAGCTGGGGACACCTGGGGACATTGAGGACATACCTGGGACACACCTGGGATAGAGGGGACACGCCTGGGGACACACCTGGGGACACACCTGGGGACACACCTGGGGACACATCGGAGATAGAGGGGACACAGCTGGGGACACCTGGGGACATTGAGGACACACCTGGGGACACACCTGGGGACACACCTGGACACACCTTGGTGTCCCCATTGATGTCCCCACCACCGGTTGATGTTGTCCCCCCCATCCTTGTCCTTCACCCAATCCTCTCAATGTCCCCAATGTCCCCGATGTCCCCAAATGTCCCCAGAGCGAGGAGAAGGGCCGGCAGCTGCAGGAGTGGCTGGAGAACACCTGACGTCCCCAGTGTCCCCAATGTCCCCAATGTCCCCAATGTCCCAATAACCTCAATGTCCCCAATCCCCTCGATGTCCCCAAATGTCCCCAATGACCCCAATCCCTGTCAGTGTCCCCAATGTCCCCAATGTCCCCAATGTCCCCAGAGCGAGGAGAAGGGCCGGCAGCTGCAGGAGTGGCTGGAGGACGCCTCACATCCCTGATGTCCCAATGTCCCCAACATCCCCAATGTCCCCAATGTCCCCAATCCCTGTCAGTGTCCCCAATGTCCCCAATGTCCCCAATCCCTGTCAGTGTCCCCAATGTCCCCAGTGTCCCCAATGTCCCCAAATGTCCCCAGAGCGAGGAGAAGGGCCGGCAGCTGCAGGAGTGGCTGGAGGACGCCAAGGCCAAGCTGCAGCTTGACCCTGATGTCCCAATGTCCCCCAATGTCCCCAATGTCCCCAATCCCTGTCAGTGTCCCCAATGTCCCCAATGTCCCCAATGTCCCCAATGTCCCCAGTGTCCCCAATGTCCCCAATGTCCCCCAATGTCCCCAGAGCGAGGAGAAGGGCCCGGCAGCTGCAGGAGTGGCTGGAGGACGCCAAGGCCAAGCTGCAGCTGACCCTGCAGAAAGCCGAGACGCTGCCCGAGATCGAGGCCCAGCTGGCCAGAGGGTGGCGGCGCTCACCAAGGTGGGGCTGGGGGCGACTTTGGGGGGTCCTGGGGGGATTTGGGGGGGTCTTGAGAGGATTTGGGGCAGTTTAGGGGGGTCTTGAGGGGGTCTGGGGGGGTTGTGAGGGAGTTTTGGGGGGATTTGGGGGAGATTTGAGGGAGTTTTGCGGGGATTTGAGGGTCCTGAGGGGGTTTGGGGGCGATTTTGGGGGGTCCTGGGGGGGGGTTTGGGGGGTTCTAGGGGGGTTTGGGGTGGTCTTGAGGGGGTTTTGGGGGGGATTTGGGGGAGTTTGGGGGGGATTTGGGGGGGCTTGAGGGGTTTTGGGGGGGATTTGGGGGGGTTTTGGGGAGGTGTTGGAGGGTCCTGGAGGGGTCTGGGGGCATCTTGAGGAGGTTTGGGAAGATCTGGGGGGGTTTAGGGGGGTTGGGGTGAATTTGTGGGGTCCTGGGGGGTCCTGGAGGGTCTTGAAGGGTTTTGAGGGGATTTGGGGGAGATTTAGGGGAGTTTGGGGGGATTTTTGGGGGTTTTGGGGAGGTTTTGGGGGTCTTGGAGGGGTTGAGGTGAATTTTTGGAGGGATTTGAGGGGGAGTTTTGGGGGTTCTGGGGGGGGATTTGGGGGGGGGGTCTTGAGGGGGTTTGGGGGGATTTGAGGGGAATTTGGGGGGTCCCAGGGGCGTTTGGGGTGGTCCCAAGTGGGTTTGGGGTGGGTTTTGAGGGAGTTTTGGGGGGATTTGGGGGGATTTTGGAGGGTCTTGAGGATTTTGGGGAGGGATTTGGGGGGTCCTGGGGGGGGATTTTGGGGGCGTCCTTGGACGCTCCAGGTGGGTTTGGGGTCTGGAGTAGTCCTGAAGGGATTGTCCCCCAAATGTCCCCAAATGTCCCCAATGTCCCCAATGTCCCCAATGTCCCCAATGTCCCCAAATGTCCCCAATGTCCCCAATCCCCCCAATGTCCCCCAATGTCCCCAAATGTCCCCAATCCCCCCAATGTCCCCAATGTCCCCGAATGTCCCCAGGCCGAGGAGCGCCACGGGAATTTCGAGGAGCGCTTGCGGCAGCTCGAGGCCCAACTGCAGGAGAAGAACCAGGAGCTGCAGAGGGTGGGCACCCCGAAAAATGGGAACACCCCAAAAAACGGGAAATCCCAAAAATGGGGAACCCCAAAAATGGGGAATCCTAAAAATGGGCACACCCCAAAAATTGGAAATCCCAAAAATGGGAAACCCTAAAAATGGGGAATCCTAAAAATGGGCACACCCCAAAAATTGGAAATCCCCAAAATGGGGAACCCTAAAAATGGGAAATCCTAAAAATGGGAACCCCAAAAATGGGAAATCCCAAAAATGGGAAATCCTAAAAATGGGAACCCCCAAAAATGGGAAATCCCAAAAAATGGGAACCCCAAAAATTTGAAATCCCAAAAATGGGAAATCCCAAAAATGGGAAATCCTAAAAATTGGAAATCCTAAAAATGGGAACCCCAAAAATGGGAAATCCCAAAAAATGGGGAACCCTAAAAATGGGAAATCCCAAAAATGGGAACCCCAAAAATGGGAAATCCCAAAAATTGGAAATCCCAAAAATGGGAAATCCTAAAAATGGGAACCCCAAAAATTGGAAATCCCAAAAATGGGAAATCCCAAAAATGGGAAATCCTAAAAATGGGAACCCCAAAAAATGGGAAATCCCAAAAAATGGGAACCCCAAAAATTGGAAATCCCAAAAATGGGAAATCCCAAAAATGGGAAATCCTAAAAAATGGGAACCCCAAAAATTGGAAATCCCAAAAATGGGAAATCCAAAAATGGGAAATCCCAAAAAATGGGAACCCCAAAAATGGGAAATCCCAAAAATGGGAAATCCTAAAAATGGGAAACCCCAAAAATTGGAAATCCCAAAAATGGGAAATCCCAAAAATGGGAAATCCCAAAAAATGGGAACCCCAAAAATTGGAAATCCCAAAAATGGGAAATCCCAAAAAAGGGAAATCCCAAAAAATGGAACCCCAAAAATTGGAAATCCCAAAATTGGAAATCCCAAATTCAGACACCCCAAAAATGGGAAATCCCAAAAATTGGAAATTCCAAAAATGGGAACCCCAAAAATGGGAAACCCCCAAAATGGGAAACCTCAAAAATTGGAAACCCCAAAATTGGAAACTTCAAAAATGGGAAATCCCAAAAATTGGAAATCCAAAAATGGGAAATCCTAAAATGGGACACCCCAAAAACGAGACACCCCAAAAACCAGAAAACCCCAAATTGGGGCACCCCAAAAACGAGGACACCCCAAATTCAGGCCCCCCAAAACCGGGGATACCCCAAAAATGGACACCCCAAAATTCACCACCCCAAATCTGGGAACCCCAAAATTCCGGTGGGGTCTCCCCAACGTTTCACCGCCCCCCAAAACCCATTAAAAATTCCATTTCCCCCCCATTTTTCGTGCTACAAACGCGGGGTTTTCGACGCTCCCCCGCGTTGAAATTTTTTGGGGAGCCCCCCCCCGATATTTTGGGGACCCCCGGTGTAATTTTGGGGTGCCCCCAGGCGCGGCAGAGGGAGAAGATGAACGACGAGCACAACAAGCGGCTCTCGGAGACGGTGGATCGGCTGCTGAGCGAGAGCAACGAGCGGCTGCAGCTGCACCTCAAGGAGAGGATGGGGGGCCCTGGAGGAGAAGGTGGGCACCCCCAAACTGGGGAGGGGGCTCAGACAAAAATTCGGGGGTCCTGGGAGAAATTTGGGGGGTCCTGGGAGAAATTTGGGTGAAATTTGGGGGGTCCCAGGGGGAGTTTTAGGGGGTTTTTGGGGGCTCTAAAATGGTTTTTGTTGCACCTAAAGGAGAGGATTGGGGGCACCCCAAAATTGGGGAGGGGTCTGGGGGGTCCTGGGAATAATTCTGGGGGGTCCTGAGAGAAATTTGGGCAGAATTTGGGGGATCCCAAGTGGATTCGGGGGGGTCCTAGGGAGATTTTGGGGGGTCCTGGATGGGATTTGAGGGAATTTTGGGGGTCCTGGATGGGATTTGGGGGGAGTTTGGGGGGTCCTGGGCGGCTCCAGATGCCCCTAAAGGAGAGGATGGGGGCCCTGGAGGAGAAGGTGGGCACCCCCAAACTGGGGAGGGGGCTCAGACAAAAACTGGGGGGTCCTGGGAGAAATTTGGGGGGTCCCAGGTGGATTTTGGGGGGTTTTTAGGGGGATTTTGGGGGGTCCTGGGGGTCTGCAATGGCTCCAGCTGAACCTAAAGGAGAGGATTGGGGGCCCCCCAAAATTGGGGAGGGGTCTGGGAAAAAATTAAGGGGGTCCTGGAAGGGATTTGGGGGGGTCCTGAGAGGATTTTGGGGGGTCCTGGATGGGATTTGGGGGGTCCTGAGAGGATTTTGGGGGGGTCCTGGATGGGATTTGGGGGGTCCTGAGAGGATTTTGGGGGGTCCTGGATGGGATTTGGGGGGGTCCTGAGAGGATTTTGGGGGGTCCTGGAGGGGTTTTGGGGGTCCTGGATGGGATTTGGGGGGAGTTTGGGGGGTCCTGGGTGGCTCCAGATGCCCCTAAAGGAGAGAATTGGGGGCACCCCAAAATTGGGGAGGGGTCGGGGGGGGGGTCCTGGGGATAATCTGGGGGGTCCTGGGTGAAATTTGGGGGTCCCAGGTGGATTTGAGGGGGTTTTGGGGGGTCCTGGGTGGGATTTTTGGGGGTTTTGGGGGGTCCCAGATGGAATTTGGGGGGTCCTGGGTGGCTCCAGCTGCATCTAAAGGAGAAAATTGGGGGCACCCCAAAATTGGGGAGGGGTCTGGGGGGGTTCTGGGGATAATTTGGGGGGTCCTGAGAGAAATTTGGGGGTCCCAGGGGGAATTTGGGGGGTCCTGGGTGGCTCCAGATGCCCCTAAAGGAGAGAACTGGGAGCACCCCAAAATCGGGGAGGGGTCTGGGGGGTCCTGGGAATAATTTGGGGGGTCCTGGGTGAAATTTGGGGGGTCCCAGGTGGGTTTTGGGGGGTCCTGGATGGAATTTGGGGAAATTTTGAGGGTCCCAGGTGGTTTATGGGGGTTTTTGGGGTGACTTTGGGATTTTTTGGGGTTTTTTGGGGGGAATTTTGGGATTTTTTGGGGTTTTTTGGGGGTGAAATTTGGGATTTTTGGGTTTTTTTGGGGGGAATTATGGGATTTTTTGGGTTTTTTTTGGGGGGAGTTTTGGGATTTTTGGGTTTTTTTGGGGGACTTTTGGGGTTTTTTTGGGTTTTTTTGGGGGGAGTTTTGGGATTTTTTGGGGGTTTTTTTGGGGGGGAATTTTGGGGTTTTTTGGGGGGGATTTTGGGGATTTTTGGGGTTTTTTGGGGGGAATTTTGGGATTTTTTGGGGTTTTTTTGGGGGTGAATTTTGGGATTTTTTTGGGTTCTTTTGGGGGGAGTTTTGGGATTTTTTGGGTTTTTTTGGGGGGGACTTTGGGATTTTTTGGGGGAAAGTTTTGGGATTTTTTGGGTTTTTTTTGGGGGGGAATTTTGGGATTTTTTGGGGGGGAATTTTGGGATTTTTTGCGGTTTTTTTGGGGGGGGACTTTGGGATTTTTTGGGTTTTTTTGAGGGGACTTTGGGATTTTTTGGGGGTTTTTTGGGGGGAATTTTGGGACTTTTTTGGGGTTTTTGGGGTCCCCCCCCTGATTTTCTCCCTCCCCAGAATTCTCTGAGTGAAGAAATCGCCAACATGAAGAAAATGCAGGACGAGCTCCTGCTCAACAAGGTGGGAATTTTATTTTATTTTATTTTATTTTATTTTATTTTATTTTATTTTATTTATATTTTTATTTTATATTTTATTTTATTTTATTTTATATTTTTTATTTTATGTTTTAATTTTATTTAATTTTATTTAATTTTATTTTATATTTTATATTTTCTTTTATATTTTATTTTATTATATTTTATTCTATATTTTTTATTTTATGTTTTAATTTAATTTAATTTTATTTTTTATTTTATTTTATTTTATTATATGTTATCATATTTTATTATATATTTTTATTTTATTTCATTTTATTTCATTTTTATTTTATCTTCTTTTCTTTTCTTTTATTTCTCATTTCCTTTTTTAATTTTATTTTTTATTTTTTATTTTATTTCAGTATTTTATTTTATATTTTATTTTTGAGGGGGATTTTTTAGGGGGATTTTTTGGATTTTGGGCAATTTTGGGGGAATTTTGGGGGATTTTTTGGGGGGATTTTTTTTATTTTTTGGGATTTTTAAAAACTTCTGGGGATTTAAATTTTATTTTAATTTTGGAGATTTTTTTTCTGAAGGAGTTTTTGTGGTTTTTTGGGAATATTTGGGGATTTTTTTTCATTTTGGGGGATTTTTTTGGGATTTTTTTTTATATTTTACAATTCTTTTTTTTATTTTTTTCATAATTTGTTGTTTATTTTTTCAGGAGTTTTTAGGCGAGTTTTGAGGTTTATTTGAGGGGATTTTTTTGGGTTTTTTTGGG